TGGTAATGCTAGGAAAGTAATCAGGAAATATCACTTTATTTCCTTTTTCGTGTTTGTTTTGAGTAGGAATGGAAAACAAAGTTTGTGTAAATTTTCAATTATACCCATATTAAATCAAATAAAAAAAATGCATTTAATGATATATTGTAATTGTAAATTGTTAATGGGGACAAAATGGTAATGAAAAATGTTTATTTTATAGTGGCTTATTTTCCCAAACTTTACCATGAGAAGGGAAAACAAAACCTAAGTTGGGAGAATGGCTTCACTTTCCCCCTACTTTCCCATAGGTCAAGCAACGTTTCCCATGCCTGGACTTACCAAAATGGGAAAGTAATTGATTTCTCATCCCCAAGTCTCCTTTCCCATCCCCAAATATTCTTTTCCATGAACCAAACGGGCCTAAAACTATTCAAGTTCAACTCTAAGCAGATTCTAAGGTAATCTTCGAAAACATCTTTTTCTTATTGGCTGGTTGTTGTCAATCCTTCTCATTTAAACACTTTCCAAGACCCCTGTTGGTGGAAGTGGCTATCATTGGCAATCTTTGTGGTGATTATAGTAATGAACCACGAACCAAGTTGATATAGAAATGTATGTCATATAAATATTAGATAGTAAAACTGTAAAAAAGATGCAGATAATTAATATGCCAATGAATTTAGTCTTTTTCTGTATTTATGAGATTCTGCTTCAATACATTTGTATCATTATTAGACCCTATGATCAGTCTTGAGATATAATGTCAAGTCTCTCTCTCTCTCTCTCTCTCACCAATGGTGACCTCTTTCTACAGATTACCGGTGCTGCCATTCTTCTTTTTCCATCTTTTTCTTCTCTTTGCTTTGCTCGTTCACTTTCTTTTGATATATCTACCTTTGTTCCTAATACAACCAACATATACTATCATGGAGATGCAAATGCAATGGCTTTAGATGGTGTTGTCGAGTTTAACAAAGTGAATTATTTATGGCATGTTGGATAGGTCACCTATGGTGAAAGGGTGTTTCTATGGGACAATGAAACAGGAAAGCTCACTGATTTTGAACCCATTTCTGCTTCACCATCTCCTTTTCTCATTGCTAAATGAATAAAATATCAACAACTTGTCTCTTAAGAGAAAGTTGGGTGAAGGTGGGTTCGTTCTTATCTACAAGTTCATGCGAAATGACCTTGATTCTCATTTATTTCACAATAAGATTCGTCTCAATTGAGCAATCAATCCAAGTTCATTTAAACCCCAAAAATGGAAAGCAAACAAACAAAGCACCACAAACACAGGGAAGATTAGACTAGAACCAGTACAGTCTAGTATAATAATCTTCCCCATCACAAATTCAAAACAAAATACAACATAAAGCCACTGTTACCGCATAGGGGACGAGAATCGCACCATCATGGCCACAAATAGGGGATACACACCCACCACACATGTTAGCACTGTTGTACATAGAGACCCATCGATCTTCAGCTAAGAAGATAAATTCCCCAAAAAGCATAAACACATTAGCACTAAAACATTCCTCCATAGATTGCCTTCTCCATCACACCTGAATCTGACATTGCACCTAAGAGAAAATAACAACCAATCACAACACCAAGGTATATACCAAAATATAGACACCAAGAGAATGGAGAGCATTGGTGTAACACGAGAGCAAGAACGGGAGCAAAAGCTCTAAATACACTCTGATAATAGCGTGGCAAAGCGCTTATACATATAATTGTTGTATCCTAATGGAGAGTCCATATCCGAACAGAAGAGCAGGCAAAAAGAGAATGAGCTGTTGGGGTAGATTGGCGAAAAATGGGGGACACAACATCATGAGACATTTAATCTCAGTACATGGCACAAGGCTCAAGCAATCACTACAGTAGGGAAAAGCACCCAACTCTCAAAGAGAGCCACTAGCAGAGCCAAACAGGCTTAAATCGAAAAAACAAAAGAAAAATCGAGAATCACTCTGCAAAAACATACCAAAACCCCCCAAGAGGTGGAAGAGAAAGGAATGGTAGGAAAAAAGGGATGAGGGAGAAAACAAGAAAAAGGGAGGGTAGGAAAGAAAGAGAAAAAAAAACTCGAAAAAAGTGGAGGGAGAGAACAGAAAAAGGGAAAAAGGGAGGAGAGGTGGGGAACGAGGGAGGAAGGGGGAGAGGGAACTAGAAAAGAAAGAAAAGAGGAAGAGGAGGAAGAGGAGGAGGGAAAGAGGGGGTGAAGGGAGGGGAGGGGAGGAGGGTTAGTGACCACTTCTTCCCCCTGGCGGCGCAAGAAAAGAGGGGTGCTAGGGTTGGGAGAAAAAAATTGCATAGCTGAGAGAGAGGTTTGCTATATGTTCATGTTTAGGGAACCAATGTGAGATGCACAAGGAGACCTCGATGCAATCAGGAGTGGAAAACCAATTATGCTACCTATGGAGTAGTAGTATCAACAATTGGTTTTTCGTTAGACTTTTTGGGCATTAACTACTTATATTAGTAAATTAATATGGACTAGGATTTATCATTAGTCTCTCTTCTTGTGGTTTTATTATACCATTGTACATCCCTTGATTAGTAGTGTATTTGAACGCCAAGTGCTGAATATGCTGATACGGCTGTGTGATAATTTTTTTTTTCACATAACAACCCAGCTATATGACAAGGGCTTATAGCTCAAGTGGTTAATGTTAAATTTTATAGAGACGGGCCAGCGGTCCACTACTAAAAACACCGATCTTGTCCCCAACTTAACCACCTACAAAACCCAGTAAGTATGAGTTTTTATCACAAAAAGCCTCGGTGATATTAGTAGTGGAATCATTCATTATATCTTGTATTTTATTTAGTCAAGTTTCCAATGTATGACTTATATTCTTCAACAGTTAAGAGCATTTACCTCTACACCCTTCTATTTCCCCCTCCCCCAATATCGCTTGGGCTAAATTATTTAGCAAACCCGGGCTAAATAATTGGATGGGGCCCAGCTAATGTCACCTAGCAGTCAAGTGATGTCATCTACTTTAATTTTTTTTAAAAATTTTAAAAATCCAAAAAAATTATTTTGTTTTTATTAAAAAAAAATCTAAAAAATTCCTCTTTTTTTTTGGGTGTATAAATACCTACCGCTTCTTACATAATTTCTCACAATATCTTCATCATTTTACATATTATCCTTCCTCAATTTCATCCTTTTACATAATTTCTCACAATCTCTTCATTATTTTACAAACTATCCTTCATCTTTTCGCTTTAAATTAATTTTTAAGTTGATTTGAGAACAAGAAAAAAAAATCATAAATCTATAAGACTAATCACGTGTCGACACGTGGATGTCAAAAATCCTATCCCAAAATATTTTTCTCTTCTAAAATGTATTTTAAATAGGATATAAATAGTAGTTTAATTAAATTAACTAATAAATTATATAATATACTAAAAACCATTAAATATTAAATTTAGCCCCTTGCTGCTGGAAACGGTTAAAATGTAACCTCACACTATTCCTTATAAAATTATTTATTAAAAGGCTAAATGTAGCCTGCGGCTAAATATAGCCCTCCCCACCTTGAGATTGCGTTAGGGTTGTTAGTCTTATTAATAGTCAATAAACTTTGAGGTTTCTCTCATTTTTCTTGTATAGGAGTTGTGCGATGGTAGAGACAATGTGAACATAGTCATGTTTCAAGTGAAGTATGTATATTAATGTTCCATTTCTTTGTTTAGTAGCCAACAATTGCCTCCCTTTTTTAGGTGCCTTCCTGTTCCTGTCGAAGGTCAACTCCATGGCTGATTATTATTAAGAGATAATATGTTTTAAAATACTTTCTTGCAGAGACCCCATTATTAAACCTTCACCCATCTTAACTAACACACCGTTTTATTACAAATGGTCCTTGAGGTTTACAAAATTGTCACAAATGGTCCTTAAGGTTTTTTTGTGACATTAATAGTCCTTAACGTTATGGATTTTTTTTCATAAATAGTCCCTACCATTAGAAATTCTGTTAAGTGTGACATGGAAGATAAGTAGAGCCCACATATCCAATCACATTGTGACATGTGAATGGAAATAAATAAATAAATATTTTTTAAATGAAAATTCCAATTTTTTTATGCAACTTTTCATCCCCATTCCTCTACTCCGTCTTTCTCCCCCTCAGCCCTCGCTCTCTACCCTTTGCCTCCTCTCTCCCTCTCTCCTCCCTGTCCTCTCCTTCTCCCTCTGTTTTTTCTTGCCCACTACCACCCACAAGAAAAAATATAAGATATACAGTGGTAGAGAAAATTTATAGTTATAAAACTATATCTTTGTGGTAGAGAAAGGAGTGTATAGTTGTATTACCCATTTTCAATAAAAATAATAATATATCTTTCTACATCTTTGTATAGTTGTATATCATAAGTTCATAACCCACAAAGAGGAAGAGGGGGAGCATAGGGAGGAGAGAGGGTAGAGGGAAAGAGAGAGAGGCTAAATGGATTTTCATTCAAAAAAAATATTTATTTATTTAATCCGCATGTCACTATGTGATTGGACAAGTGAGCTCCCCTTATTTTCCACATCAGACACTTAACAAAATTTCTAACAGCAGGGACCATTTGTGATAGAAAGCCCTAATGTTAAGGGCTATTGATGTCACAAAAAAAATCTCAAGGACCATTTGTGATAATTTCATAAATATCAAGGACCATTTGTGATAAAAAGCCTTTCATTAATTAACTTCAACAAGGATATATATATATATATAATATACGTAGGTACCCTAGTATGGAAAAGATGAGATATTAAATATTAATCAATCATTCAACAGATGAGTACTGTGGGAGCGATTTCCGTCCCATTAGAATATTTGCCAAAGATTCCTTCATCTTCTCTGCTTCTCTTTCTCCCTGCAAAACAGATCGGAGTAAAAGGACCACACCCGGGGGGTGTTGGCCAAAGGCCTTCCGATGCCTAAGTTAGGTTGGGTGTTTCAAGGAAAACCGGGTGACCGAAGCCTTGTGTAAGAGAGAGAAAGAATATGGTGGCTAGGGTTTTGGAGAAATGATTTCTGTAGAGTTTTAGTAGGAATTTAGACGTACCTTAACCCTTGTGCGTAGCCAAGTATTTATAGTGGTCTCTGAGGCTAGGGTTTCAAAGGAATAATTCCGTAGATGGAAAGGAATTATTCCTCCCCGATTTGGAATTGATTTGATTAATTAGGGATTTGATTTATTAGGGTAAATCAAATCCCTAATTATGGTAGGTATCAAATCAATTCCTAATTTAATTAGGTAACTCCTCATTTAATTGGGAATTGTGGTAGGAATTAAATCAATTCTCAACCTAATTAGGTAACATTCCATTTAATTGGGTAATCCCCAATTAAATTGAGAAACTCCCAATTAGGTTGAATAATTCCCAATTATGTCAAATAATCCCAAAATGGAAGGAATTATTTGACCTAGGGTTCTGATTTAATTCGGTTCCCACAAGTACCATAATTCTGAATTGTATATGCATTTTAAGAGTTGACAATTTGCACTAAAGCTGCACCAAATTTTTCTCTGGAAATTGTTGCCTTACAATCATGTAAGCTTCCAAGCAATTGGTCTCCAACATCTCTTCCTGTGTCTCTTTGTCTCTGTTTCCTTCTCTATCTCTTTTCTCTCTGTTTCCTTCTTTGTCTCAGTCTATTCTCCAGGCCATTGCCATCTTTTTCAACAACCTATCATATGTACCTATCAATAGCTTCATTTTCCTTTTGCTTCTTCCTTATGCTTGTTCGATTAATTTCCAAATACACCACTTCGAATCGAGTGTAGACAACATAGTCTATCAGGGAGATGCAGTGGCTTTAGTTGGCGCAGTTAAACTGATCAACAGGCGTACTTACCTATGCCGTGTTGGCTGGGCCACTTATGCTAAGAGAGTGCCTATCTGGGATTCTGATACTGGGAGGCTCACAAACTTTAGCACACATTTCTCATTCATCATTGACACAACAGGTGAAAACCCTTTCGACCATGGGATTGCGTTCTTTCTTGCTCATGTTAGATTTCAAATCCCACCAAACTCAGTTGGTGGCTTTCTAGGCCTATTCAACACCACAACCAATGACTTCTCTAGAAACTAGATTGTTCTTTGTTGAATTTGATTCGTACGTAAACCCTGAATAGGATCCCGACTATGAGCATGTCGGGATTAACAACTCAATTTATTATGTTGTCACCACCCCTTGGAATGCTAGCATACACAGTGGAGACATTACTGATGTATGGATTGCCTACAATGCAACAACTAAAAATTTAAGTGTCCATTGGAGGTACCAAGCTACCTCGAATCATAACGAAAGCACCAGTCTCTTTCACCAGATTGATCTAAAGGAAATTCTGCCTGAGTGGGTCACAATTGGATTTTCCATTGGCATTGGTAAATATGGAGAGCGTGATATGATTCTTTCGAAGGAATTCAATTCAACTTTAGAAAGAAAAGAAAGTAGTGGAAACAATGCAAAGAAGAAAACATTAGTAGTGGGTTTAACAGTTTTCTAGGGGTGTTCTGATAGCTGGGGTGTTTATAGCATTAATTGTGAGGAGGTGGAAGTGGAAGCAAAAGTAGAGGGAAACACTAAAGACAATCAACTTAACATCAATCAACAAAGACCTTGAAAGAGGAGCAGGACCAAGAAGGTTCTCTTATAGCGATCTTGTTACAACCACCAACAATTTCTCTAATGAGAGGAAGTTGAGTGGAGGATTCGGTACTGTTTACAAAGGCTACCTAACCGATTTAGACATAGCAGTCATGATGAAGAAAATTTCAAAGTGAGTCTAGGCAGGGAAGAAAGGAGTATATAACAGAGATGAAGGTTATTAGTAGCTTGAGACACCGAAATCTAGTGCAACTCATAGGATGGTGCCACGACGGAGGTCAGTTCCTTCTTGTCTATGAGTTCATGCCAAATGGTGGCCTTGATATTCACCTCTTTGGAAAGAGGTCTGCTTTATTATCTTGGGCTGTGAGATACAAAATATCTTGAGGATGGCCTTTGCATTGCTTTAACTTCATGAAGGGTGGGAGCAATGTGTGGTGCATAGGAATGTAAAATCAAGCAGTGTCATGCTAGATTCTAGCTTCAATGTCAAGCTTGGTGACTTCAGGTTAGTGTGGCTAATGGACCATGAGCTTGGCCCTCAAACAATTGGATTGGTTGGAACAATTGGTTACTTGGCTCCAGAGTATATAAGCACGGGTAAAGCTAGTAAAGAGTCTGATGTTTATAGCTTTGGTGTGGTCACCTTAGAAATAGCTATTGGAAAAAGGTCAATGGATTGTATGGAAAAGGATTTCAAAATGGGGCTGATAGAGTGGGTTTGGGACCTTTATGGAAAAGGAAAGCTTCTCTTAGTAGTGGATGCGAGGCTGCATTTGGAGTATGAAGAGAAACAAGTAGAGTGTTTAATGATTAAGGGATTGTGGCGTGCTCACCCAAATAAAAGTTTAAGGTCGTCGATAAGGCAAGCAAATCAAATTCTGAACTTTGAGGTAGCATTGCCAAATCTTCCCTCAAAGATGCATGTTCCAGTGTATGATATACCTACACCATCATTCAGGTCCGGTGATCCATTAATAACCATAAGCACTCAAGAAGGTCGATGAGCTCTGCACACAACCTCAGTTTGTAACTTTGTATATAAAGTCATTCTTAGTGTTTTCCACGAGACATGATTGGTTGCATCTATAAATAGCTTGGAAATTACTCAAAAATTAGTTCATTTTTCTTTCCTTGTATGATGATCTATTCTATTGCAAAGAAATAAGGGAAACTATGTGGCATGAAAGTTTATCTGCACATAATGCAAACAAACTCATATTATGCAGCAATAAAATTTCATTTCACCCCCACTATTCTACCAGAAAATGCAGACATCCCTTTTTTCTATATGTTCTTTTCACTATTAATTTTCATTGAAAATCAACTTTTTCCTTCTAAGTCCGTTACCATTGATGTCTAATAGCTTTGATAATAATGGCTGGATCTACTACTACCTAATCTAAAACGTAAACTGAACTGAACTTAAGACGAAGGAACCTAGTGCCGATGCCTTATCATCCCACGCACCACCACCTTCCGTCCCTATGACTGTCTCCTCCATGAAAACCCATCACACCTAGACACATTTTCCAACAAGAACACATCGATCTCGCTCTCAACATTGATAACAAAGTTTCTTTGTACAGCCCCTCATGGGAAACGTGTTCGAGAAGACTATCTTGTGGTTTTTTTGTATTTCCAAAAGCTATGTATCAATTAGTAGTATCGACAGATTTTTTCTTTCCTTAGTGGATACAAATGGTTTTCATTAGACTTTTTGGGCATTATTATACCGCTCTTGTACCTTTCTTTTTTGTGGTTTGATTATACAGCTCTTGTACCTTTCTTGATTAAAAATGCTAGGTGCTGAATCTGCTGATATGGCTATGTGGTAATAATTTTCACATAACAACTCAACCATCTTGGTTAAGAGCAGTTACATCTGCACCTGAGGTCCTAGGTTCGATTCCTCCCTCAACCAATATCCCTTATATAAGATAATAATAATTAAAAAAAAACAACTCAACTATATGAAACCATAACATAAACAGCAAGTTGATCGCATCCAATTTTCTCATTGCTAAAATATCAACACCCAGCAAAATAGCAGAAAAACAATCCTCGATAATGGTATCATCTGTTAGCCAATAATGGCACGGCCTTCACTTTAGTTGCTCGCCTCCTATTGTAGCTAAAGGTTAGCTTCATATAAAATAGATAATTTATCTGTTTATACACTTTGAAGCAGACCAATGATATGAATTCTTCATATATATTGCTTTGGCAAGTCTCCCTCCACTGAAAATATATGAATTTTACCTAAACCACTGAATTAAGTTTCAACCTGGCGACATGCTCATTGTAATGCAGCACTTTGGACCATAAATGTATGAAGGGTCATTTGGAACTTGAAACAAGCAAATATTTAATCATATTCAGGGATTGACAAGCTCAATCAAGTCTTTGTCTATATTTTCAGGCATAAAACTCCTTTTCAGTGGAACTATTACTCCATGCATAAATTAATGCCGGTGGTTGAAAACCTGGATTATCACCAAATTATAAGCAATTGTTGGCCTAACAAATTCATAATGTAAGTTACCAAGAATTTGGCCTCCATTTAACTGCTCTGCTCTCTGTCTCTATCTCTTTCACATGGCCGTACCATCTCTACCTATCAGCATCCTCTTTTACCGCTTTGTTCTTCCATTATCTAATTCAATTTATTTCAAAATTCCCCGTTTCGATTCAAATGACACCACCATACTCTACCAGAGAGATGCAGTACCTTCTGCTGAAAAAATTGAATTGGTCAACAAAATTGATGATTCATGCAGAGTTGGGTGGGCCACCTATGCTGAGAGAGTGCCACTTTAGGACTATAATACTGGGAAGCTCACTGACTTCACAACCCATTTCAAGTTCATTGTTGACACAAACGGTGTTCCCTATGCCTCTTATGACACCGAAATTAGTGCAACTCATAGGATGGTGCCATGATGAAGGTCAGTTGGTAGCCTTGATTCTCATCTTTTTGGGAAAAGGCCTGCTGTACTATCCTGGGCTATGAGATACAAGATATCTCTAGGGTTGGCTTATGCTTTGCTTTATCTTCATGAAGAGTGGGAGCAATGTGTGTTGTGCACAGGGATGTTAAATCAAGCAATAATGTCATGCTAGATTCTAGCTTCAATGTCAAGCTTGGTGACTTCGGGTTAGCGCGACTAATAGACCATGAACTAGGTCCTCAAACAATTGGATTGGTTGAAACAGTTGGTTACTTGGCCCCAGAGTATATTATCACAGGCAGAGATAGTAAAGTGTTAGATGTTTATAGCTTTGGGGTTGTTGCCTTAAAAATTGCTACAGGAAAAAACGCAACGGACTTTATTGGAAAGGACTCTGATTTGGGATTGGTAGAGTGGGTTTGGGATCTTTATGGACAATGAATGCTTGTCTTGGTTGTGGATGAGAAGCTGGATTTGGAGCATGATGAGAAACAAGTAGAGTGTTTGATGATTGTTGGATTGTGGGGTGCTCACCATGATCAAAATCTGAGGCCTTCCATAAGGCAAGCAATTCAAACTCTTTAACTTTGAGGCAGCATTCCCAAGTCTTTCAACAAAGATGCCTGTTCCAGAGTATCATGTTCCTACACCACCATCAATCAACTCCGGCGAAGATATAAGTACTGAAAGCCTTCAAGAGGGCTGTTGATTTCGTTGAACTTTGTATGAAAGATCATGTTCAGTGAGTAAAATTTGTATAGAGTTTATCTTTGTATGTTTTTTTATATATATATGAGATACATGATTGTTTATATGTATCAAAACATACTGTATAAGATTTACTGTGAAACTAGTTATGTGATCTTCACGTATCTGTCTGTTTTGGGATGTTTGCTGTAAATAACAAAATTCAAATAAGATTCAAAGAATAAATCTTGAAGGATTTTTTTTTTTTTTTTTTTTTTTTTTTTTGTTTGGGGAGAGAAGGACATGTTTGGAGAGAAGGGAAAGTTAAAAAAAAATGGACATGTGGTGTTCTTTAAGTGGAACGAAACACCCCATGTACATGTTGATGTGGTGAACCAGTAACATGATGGGTTTCCCTCGTTAGTGGAGGAGAGAAAAAGAAGGAAAATAAATATTAAAATAAAATGAAAGAAAGGATGAGAAAATTTGAAGAAAACGAATGGAAGAGAAAATGAGAAAAACTCTCCCTCATGCATGACCACCAGTTAGTTAGGAATGTTGGCTATAAAAGCAGTTCCCTTCTTTCAGTTCAATGCATCCCTTAGAAAACCAAAACTTAGACAGTTTTTAGAGATAAGAAAGCCTCACTTGTGTGAGAGAGAAAATCCTCTTGAGAAAAAAAAACCCAAGAGAGAGTTTAACCACCGATGTTTGGTGAGATTATTATTGTATTCCCATTATTTTTCTTAGTGAAAGATAGAGTGTTAATTTTGCCAATTTTATTTACACAAGGCTGGGAGAAGTCATATCCTGGGAGTGCCATATTTATTTATTGGCTCTTTGATTTTTCGCCATCTTTCCCAACAAGTGATATAAGAGCTTCGGCTTGAAAATTATATTCTTGTGTAATTTAAGATGGAGGAGTCATCGTCATCATCATCAGCAACAATGTTAAAATTAACTGCATCCAATTAGTCCATTTGGAAGTCAGGAATGGAGGACATCCTTTACTGTAAGGATTTGTATGAGCCCCTTCAATTGCTGGGACAAAAACCAGAAGGGAAGTTAGACGATGCATGGAGCATTCTGAATAGAAAAGTTGTCGGAAAAACCCGACAATGGGTGGATCAAAGTGTGTTTCACCATGCGGCACAAGAGACTGATGCATACAAATTATGGACAAAATTGTCGTCCATGTATGAGCGGAAGATCGCTCAAAATAAAGTATCGGTTATCCGACGGTTGGTAAACCTTAAGTACAAAGATGGTCGAAGTGTTACCGAATGTCAGTGACTTCCAAGGTTTGATCAACCTGTTGACGAATATGAGGATGATGCTTGACGAATATGGGGGCATTTAGAAACTACTGTAGAAGTAATGGAATCAAGCATGAACGATCTATTCCGAAGACTCCTCAACATAATGGCATAGCTGAGAGAATGAACAGAACAATTCTTGAAAGAATAAGAACAATGTTATCTCATGCCAAGCTGCCCAAAAGTTTTGGGGTGAAGCCCTGATGACTGCGATTGATCTAATCAACATTTCTCCTTCAGCACCTTTGAATGGTGATGTCCTGAACAAGTTCTAGTCGGGAAAGACGTTTCCTACAATCATTTGAAAGTTTTTGGTTGTAGAGCTTTTGTTCATATTCCTAAAGACGAGAAATCCAAGCTCGACGCGAAGTCAAAAGAATGTATCTTCGTGGGATATGGGAATGAAGAATTCGGTTATAGGTTATGGGATCCTGTAGCTAGAAAGATTATTAGAAGTAGATATGTTGTCTTCTTTGAAGATCAGAACATTGAAGACATTCGAAGATGTGATAAACCTGATAATCCTAGAAAATATCCAGCTAACTTGGATCCAGTTCCTCCTCCATTATAGCACAATGATGGGCTAGATGAATCCAAGGATACTGATGATCAAGTTAGTGATTCTATTATAAATGAACCAGTTGATGATGACATGAGTGATGATCATAAAATTGATGGTATAGTAGATGATGTAGCTGATGAGGGGCTAGAAGCACAAGCCCATGAACTCCGAGTAGGTATTCTCTAGATGATTACGTTCTCCTAACAGACGGGGGAGAACCAGAATACTATAAAGTGTTGAGACCATTCCTAACAACTAAAATGAGTTATTAAAAATAGCAACTTTAATTCTCGCAAGTGCACAAACCGTTCATAGTATAGCTTATGTAATTACGAGGTCGATCCCACAAAGAATGGTAACTTGGTTTCAAGTTAAATTACTTAAAATGCTGGAAAAACAGAAAACAAAGAAACTGACTAACTAACTAAAGGCAAAGTCGAATTCAACAATGCATCTTCCTAATTACTCAAGGTCTAGGACAGAATCCTAGCACCACACACGCACTTGAAATGGGGGGTTTTGTTGTTGAAATAATGACATGAAAGTGAAAAGAAAATGCTGGAAAGTAACCACTGGCAGCAATCAACAAGTTGTGAAACAATGATTGAGAGGTGTTAGAGCCTTGGAATCTACCACTAGTCTTCCTATCCAAGTTAGGAATGCATAGAAATTGACTCAAGCTTCATCAACAATAGAATATTGCATACAAGCCTATGGTATCTAGGTGCAGGATGCATGATTCTCCTAAGGCATGTGATTATGCATGGTATCTACACAACACGTGATCTCTAATATGCAACATAAGCATGGTATCTACTTAGAATATAACATACAAGAGTTATTAAGCTCCTTGAGAATATGATAATCACACAAGTCCTAAAACATGGTATCTGTCCTAGTCAACCTATGGTTATTAACCCCTTGAATGATTCTTAGGTCATTCATGTGTTGCTTGTGAAAGGAGAGTAGAATTGGTGAATCTAAACCCCTTCCCAACCTGTGCTAGATGCATAAAATCCTAGTTAGCTACTCCAAGAAAACATACATCAAGCACATAATAAATTGGAGATTAACAACTTGATAATGAAAGCAAGGAAATCAATTAACTATAAAATCATCCATAACTTTGAATATTCATAACTAGGGCTTCATCCTAAGCCTTAACTAAATGGATTAGTTAGACATAACTATGAATACAGAAAATAAGAAATATGTAGATAGGATAAAGAGAGGAGAAGAACTAGATGATGGCAGCAAGGAATTCCCAGGACAGCTCCAAGCTCTCCCTCATTTGCAACTAGCTCTCTTATCTCTTTGTGGTGGAGAATGGAATCTGAATGTGTGTATGAGTAATGGATGAAATGAATGTCTGTCTCTATCTCCCTTGAATGAGTGTGCAGCTCTCCATTTATAGAGTGAAATTTCATCCTCCCTTTTGGCTGGTGAAGCACACCTCTCTTAGCTCCTCCCAACTGCCTCAACAGCCCAATAATGCCAACTGCTCTAGCTGCCCAGACATGCTAACTGCTCCAGCTGCCCATACATGTTAACTGCTCCAGCTGCACAATACATGCTTTGGTTGACTTTTGTTCATCTTTCGGAGTTCCTAATCTGATTTGTCTCCCATGTGTGGCTGCTCTAATGTGTAACACATGACTCTAGGGATGTAGCCACATATGATGTGATGGCAGCCAACATGACTTTTCTGTGAACTTGGTTGAGTCTTTGACATGCTGAGGGCTCCAGATTTATCCAATTAGGCTGAAATTTGGATATGTTATAATAGACACCCATTGGAACAATTTCTATCAAGGCTATCCCCTCATCTGACCTGTGTAAGTTGCTGAAATGAGGCCTGCAAGATGACCTACGAAACTGAACTGACAAGGAGTGTGGCCCAAATTGGGTTTGTCTTTAAGCTCATATTCCTCTTATCCCAATCACCCCTTAACAAGCATGGATTGCATCAATTGTGATCTCTTGCTGTCTTAACCTACAAAACAAACAAAAAAAGGTAAGTGACTCAAAATAAAGAGAAACTAAGCAAAGTCACTAAATAAAGAAGGCATGCGAATGTATGAAATTATGAACTTATCATAAAGAAGCATTGACTCATAATCAACAAGATGAGGGGTTGAAAGCCATGCATGAAGAGATGCAATCTCTGCATGAGAACCACACATACAATCTGGTAAACCTACCAAAAGGTAGAAGAGCACTCAAGAACAAATAGGTGTATCGACTGAAGACAGAAGAAAACAACTCTAAGCCCAGGTTTAAGGCAAGGCTAGTTGTGAAAGGTTTCAGTCAGAAGAAAGGAATTGACTTTGAAGAGATTTTCTCACCTGTAGTGAAGATGTCATCCATACGGGTTGTACTCGGTTTGGTTGCAAGCCTGAATCTCGAGATCGAACAGCTAGATGTGAAGACAGCTTTCCTTCACGAAGATCTTGAAGAAGAAATCAAAATGGAGTAGCCAGAAGGATTCAAAGTAAAAGGAAAAGAAGATTTGGTATGTCGGCTGAAGAAGAGCTTATGTGGACTCAAGCAGGCACCTAGACAATGGTGCAAGAAGTTTGATTCCTTCATGATTGAACACAGATATCAGAGGACTACTTTAGACCATTGTGTATGTGTGAAAAGATTTGATGATGGTGAATTCATCATACTTCTTCTCTATGTCGATGACATGTTGATCGTAGGACAAAACAGTGACAAGATTAGCAAATTGAAGAAAGAGTTGAGCAAGTCTTTTGCTATGAAAGACTTAGGACCCGCAAAACGAATCCTCGGTATGAGTATATCCCGTGATAGAAAAAATCGGAAGTTGAGGTTATTACTAGAAAGTTATATCAAGAAAGTACTAAAGCGGTTTAACATGGATAAAGCAAAACCAGTTTCTACTCCATTTCCTAGTCACTTCAAGCTTAGTTCAAAGCAGAGTCCTGCATGTGAGAAAGAAAAAGAAAACATGGCTATGGTGCCATATTCCTCAACTGTTGGTAGTATGATGTATGCAATGATTTGCACGAGGCCAGACATAACGCATGCAATTGGCGTTGTAAGCAGATTCCTATCTAAACCAGGTAAAGAACATTGGAATGCTGTGAAGTGGATTCTCAGATATCTCAAGGGTACTTCCAAAATGAGTTTGTGCTTTGGAGGTGGAAAACCTGCATTGATTGGCTACACAGATGCAGACATGGCAGGAGATCTTGATTCCAGAAAATCTACTTCAAGATACCTAATTACATTTTTAGGATGAGCAGTTTCGTGGCAATCAAAGTTACAAAAATGTGTTGCTCTATCAACTACAGAGGCAGAGTTTATTGCAACTACTGAAGTGTGCAAAGAAATGCTCTGGATGAAGCGATTCCTACAAGAATTAGGGCAAGAACAGCATAAAGACATTTTGCATTGTGATAGTCAGAGTGCGATCCACTTGAGCAAGAATCCAAGTTTTCACTCGAGGTCGAAGCACATTGATGTGCGATATCACCGGATACGTGATGTGTTGGAGTCTAAGCAATTATAGCTTGAGAAAATCCATACTAATGACAATAGTTCAGATATGATGACCAAGTCCTTACCTAAGGACAAGTATGAATTTTGCAGAAGAGCAGCTGGACTGCTGAAGCCCTCTACCTAAGTCGGGAGGGGGAGATTGATGGGTTTCCCTTGTTAGTGGAGGAGAGAAAAATAAGGAAAATAAATATTAAAATAAAATTAAAGAAAGGATGGGAAATTTTGAAGAAAACAAATGGAAGAGAAAATGAGAAAAACTCTCCCTCATGCATAGCCACCAATTAGTTAGGAATGTTGGCTATAAAAGCAGTTGCCTTCTTTCAATTCAATGCATCCCTTAGAAAACCAAAACTTAGACAATTTTTAGAGATAAGAAAGCCTCACTTGTATGAGAGAGAAAATCCTCTTGAGAAAAAAAACAAAGAGAGAGTTTAGCCACCGGTGTTTGGTGAGATTATTATTGTTTTCCCATTATTTTTCTTAGTGAAAGATAGAGTGTTAATTTTGCCCATTTTATTTACACAAGGCTCAGAGAAGTCATATCCTGTGAATGCCATACTTATTTATTAGCTCTTTGATTTTCGCCATCTTTCCTAACATAACAAATCCATAACTCAAGTCTTGGAAATAAAGACTAAAGAATAGGGAGCTTTAGTTTTAAAGCATAATATAGTTTACTAATTTAGTAGAAGGAAATACAATTTAGTATAATTAGCAAAAGGAAAAAAACCAAAATGTAACAAAAATACCATTACAAAATATGAAAATTACAACATATGCCATTTTCAGTATTTAGTTTTAAACAAAAACTGAAAAACGACATCAAACCAAAACTGAACCAAAACGACATCAACCGAAACCAAAATTGAATCACAACTCCTTCGCACGACGTTTCAACTTCACCTCCAGAAACCTCTTCAACTTCAACTCCAGAAACCTCCAGACCACCAACGATCATCGAAGACCACCAACGATCATCGAAGACCACCAACCCATTCGTGCGACCATCATCGAAGACCACCAACGATCGAAACCGATTCTTCATTCTCTCTTTCAGCAGTTCCAACCTATTCCCCCAAAATCTGAAACGGCGACGAGCGACGAGCGACGAGCGACGAGCGACGACCAGAAGCGACGACCAGCAACGACGACGATTGAAGGGTTTAGCACTCTCTTGGGGAAAAAATCGTAAGAAAATGACCCCTAACACAAATTTGCCTTTGATTTTAGGGTTCTGAAATTTTACTTACTGTCATTCTGCAATGTAGTTTAGGTTTTGGGTTTAGTTTTGGTTTGAAAACCTCTAGAAACCGAAAAATCACAAAAGAGCATCAAAACTGTTTTCTGCACTGAAGAAAACAGAAACTGCATTGTAGTTTCTGCTAAATTATTTATACTTCTTTCCATTTCACGCCATGTTGTTATGTAGTTTCTGTTGTGTTTTGTAGTTCTTGTTTTGACTATGCTGATCTTTCAATTTCATGTCAAGTTGATGTATATTTTCTGGTATATTCTGTTTTTTGCATTGCAGTGAACCACAAACTGCATTGCAGTTTCTGTGCATTTCACGCCATGTTGTTATGTAGTTTCTGTTGGGTTTTGTAGTTCTTGTTTTGGCTTTGCTGATCTTTCAATTTCATGTCAAGTTGATGCATATTTTCTGGTATATGCTGTTTTTTGCATTTAGTGAACCACAACTGCATTGCAGTGAACCACAAACTGCATTGCAGTTTCTGCGCTTCTTGAATGTTGCTCATTTCACGCCATGTTGTTATGTAGTTTCTGTTGTGTTTTGTAGTTCTTGTTTTGGCTATGCTGATCTTTCAATTTCATGTCAAGTTGATGCATATTTTCTGGTATATTCTGTTTTTTGCATTTTAGTCAAAGACAAACTGCATTGCAGTGAACCAGAAACTGCATTGCAGTTTCTGTGAACTGCATTGCAGTGAACCACAAACTGCATTGCAGTTTCTGTTCTTCTTGAATGTGCTCATTTCACGCCATGTTGTTATGTAGTTTCTGTTGTGTTTTGTAGTTCTTGTTTTGGCTTTGCTGATCTTTCAAATTCATGTCAAGTTGATGCATATTTTCTGGTATATGCTGTTTTTTGCATTTTAGTCAAAGACAAACTGCATTGCAAACTGCATTGCAGTGAACCACAAACTGCATTGCAGTTTCTGTTCTTCTTGAATATTGCTCATTTCACGCCATGTTGTTATGTAGTTTCTGTTGTGTTTTGTAGTTCTTGTTTTGGCTTTGCTGATCTTTCAAATTCATGTCAAGTTGATGCATATTTTCTGGTATATGCTGTTTTTTGCATTTTAGTCAAAGACAAACTGCATTGCAGTGAACCACAAACTGCATTGCAGTTTCTGTTTGCTTGTAGTTTATCTCTACTTGTCCTAATAATATTTTCATCCCTTCTTGTTGCAGATCACAAATGGCACAAGAAATGTCACCACAAAAGGAGGAAGCTCAAAACCAACCAAAGCGAAGATTCAAAATGATGGCTCAAAAGAGTAAATCAAAGCCAAAGCCAAAGCCAAACTATGATCGGAAAGCAAAGCACCCAGATTATGTCCAATTTCGGTGCAATGTCAACGCTTTCAACAGCATCATTACGGATGTAAAAGACAAGCTGAATGAAAGGCAGAAGAAGCTTCTCAAGAACACCCCATTTTGGAACTTGATTGAGGTGTTTTACAACCGAAGGATTGACATGAATAACATGAATAAGTCAGACCTTGACTTAGTTCAGCTGCTCAAGAAGTTTGATCCGGATACAAAGTCCTTCAAATTTGGCACCGAAGCATTCAAGATCACAGGCAATGCAGTGACTCAGATTCTAGGACTGCCAAATGAAGGAAAATCTGTCAAACTTGTCAATGATAGGTACACTTCTACCTTCAGAATAAGGCACTTTGGAGAAAAGGGAAAACCATCAAAAAATCTGGTAGAAGCAGAATTACTGAAGACAATTTCATTGGCAAACCAACCGAAGAAAGAAAAGGCCAAGGCAGAGCAAAAGAAAGAAGCTAAAGAAGAAGAAGAAGAAGAAGTTGACTACGACAAGGAGGTGGTCAGCATAATATTGATTCACCTATGCATGACACATTCCTTTTTGCCAACGCTTCGTCTACTTTGCATTGGAAAGTATTTGAGCACTGTGTGAATCTGGACACACTTTCAAGCTATTCTTGGGCAAGTGCTTGTTTCAGCCTACATGAATGAATCCTTTGTCGCAAAAAGCAAAAGCAAAAGCAAAGAAGGGAGGAGAAGGCTCTATAGGAGCTGTTTCGGGTTGCATTATCCTAATATTGGTATGCATTTTGAGTTTTAGGCAATGCAGTTTCCCTTTAGTGCAATGCAGTTTCTGTTTTATCCTAAGCAGTTTTCCAACCTAATTTATGATATATCTTGTTTTTGAACTGTGCAGTTTCTACTGTGTGAGAGGACAAACATAATACAACCAATCCTGGGCAAAGAGAAAGAAACTCCTGCCATTTCTTAAATGGAGTCTTGTGGAACTCCACACAAGATTCAAACCAAATAAAGGACTTGAATGACATCGAGGGTATGCAATTTATCGCATGTTGTTCTACTTTAATGTATCTTGAATGTGAATTCATGCTAAATCATTCTCATTGTACAGGGTATTTTCAAAAACTCCTAAAAAGCGAGAAAAAACTACCAGGGGAAGAGGAAGACACTGTTGACAAGGTATTTGAGTGAACCAGAAAACTGCATTGCAGTTTCTGTGAACTGCATTGCAGTGAACCACAAACTGCATTGCAGTTTCTGCGCTTCTTGAATTTTGCTCATTTCACGCCATGTTGTTATGTAGTTTCTGTTGTGTTTTGTAGTTCTTGTTTTGGCTTTGCTGATCTTTCAATTTCATGTCAAGTTGATGCATATTTTCTGGTATATGCTGTTTTTGCATTTTAGTGAACCACAAACTGCATTGCAGTGAACCACAAACTGCATTGCAGTTTCTGCGCTTCTTGAATGTTGCTCATTTCACGCCATGTTGTTATGTAGTTTCTGTTGTGTTTTGTAGTTCTTGTTTTGGCTATGCTGATCTTTCAATTTCATGTCAAGTGATGCATATTTTCTGGGATATGCTGTTTTTTGCATTTTAGTGAACCACAAAACTGCATTGCAGTGAACCACAAACTGCATTGCAGTTTCTGCGCTTCTTGAATGTTGCTCATTTCACGCCATGTTGTTATGTAGTTTCTGTTGTGGTTTGTAGTTCTTGTTTTGGCTATGCTGATCTTTTTCAATTTCATGTCAAGTAGATGCATATTTTCTGGTATATTCTGTTTTTTGCATTTTAGTGAAAGCAAACTGCATTGCAGTTTGTATTTTATCCAATGCAGTTTTTGAATCATTCAATCTCATTGTACAGGGTATTTTGAAAGCATATAAAAGAGAAAAACTACCAGAGAAGAGGGAGACCCTCTTGACAAGAAAAAGAAGATGCAGAAAAAAGAAAAGAAGATGAAGGACAACAAAGAGAAGCAGAGGAAGCAGAAAGAGAAGACCAAGGAAAAACCTGATAATGCTGATCAAACTCCAGAATTAAAAGAGGATGGAAAGAAGAAAATGTTTGAGAATGAAGCTGGAAATGAACCTCTTGCAATTCAAGACCTCTTGGTGAAGTCCATGACAGACCAAATCAACTATCACCAACGTCAAGATCCTAGCTTCATTTGCCCAGAAAGATTACAACTGTGGAAGGATGAAAAAAATGAAGACAGTGAGAAGAAAATGAAGGAATTGTGGGATATATTTATCCAGGGAGGAAAAGAGATCAAAGGAGCTGGAAGAGAAGTTGGCAACATATGTAGAGAAATTAGATAATGAAGAATATGTGACTGCCACCATGACAGTGGAATCTACAGTTCAGCTTCAGGAAATAGAAAATCTAAAAAGGAGGATTGCAGAATTGGAAGGCAAGGAAACTCGGATTGACATGGAGAAGATTGCCAAGAAAAAGGAGATTGAAGAAGAAGAAGAGAAAGAAGAAGACAAGAAAGAAGAAGAGAAGCAACAAGAAGAGAAAGAAGAAGAGAAGAAGCAAGACGCTCCAACACCTGATGTTCCTTCAAGAGTAATAAGGCTGAAGAATAGAGAAAGAAAGAGGCTTCAAGCATCTTGCTATGTGTACGAAAAAAATAAGAAACCACAAAAAGAAGGCAAAAAAGGATGATGAAGAACTACCACAATTCAAGATTATCTCTTCCGAGGAGCAATCAACACAAGAGGATCCTCAAAATCAGAAGGTGGTATGCAATAACTGCAGTTCAAGCTGCTGCTTTTCTGTTTTCTGCTGCTTTACAGAAACGGAAACTGCATTGCAGTTCTGCTGCTTTACAGAAATGGAAACTGCATTGCAGTTTCTGCTGCTTTACAAAAACGGAAACTGCATTGCAGTTTCTGTTTTATCAAATGGAGTTTTCCTTTCAATCTGCAGTTAACACAAGAGGCATCTCAGCCCGATGCCACAAATCCAATTCCTGATCCCCCAAAAGGAACGAGCCTTCATGATTCAATACTTGTAGGTATGCAAGAATCAAATGATGAAGATGAAGGACAAAAAAAGCCAACAAAGAAAAAACTAGGATGGGGTCAAAAGAAGGTTTGGCAGAAAATTCCAAAGGAGGACAGGGACAGAATTGAAGAATACTACTTAAGTACTCAACCTAGGTAATATCTCTATTCCAAAAGAACAACTCTTTCATCTTTTAATTACAATTAAACTAAAACTAATCTTGTGAATTTCATGTATTTGAATCCGCAGTGATAACTTTGGGCAGGACTCGATAGTGAGAAAGTGACAAACCATGATATCAAAGATATTGTATGGGACCTGGAACTGTCACAAAACGTAAGTATAAAATACTAATTCTATAACACACACTGCACTGCATATTACCCGTTAATAATTCCATTTTTCTCCAATCAATGTGAAACAGGTTATTGAGGCCTATATCCAAATAGAGGAGGAGAAAATAGGGCCCATGCAGACAGATAGTCCACAGTACATGTCTACATGGGACTTGGGTAAGAATTATTTTGAAAATTCAAAGTTGTTTAAACAGACACGCCACTGCAGTTTTCGAAAAATATATACTAACAAATTGCCATTCAATGATATCAGGCTTACATGCAAACCTTTCTAGAACCAAATTGGCATAGGGCCCTGTATGAACACTTACTTGAAAAACTCGGGAAATGCAATGTTTCTCTTCTTCCCGATCATTTCAAGTTCTGAGTTCCACTTTACACTTCTCACATTTCACAAAATTGAACGAAAGTGGAGACACTACAATCCACTTAGATCGTTGGGATCTAGAAAAGAAGAAAAGTGTATTGACATTGCTCAAAATTTTGTAAGTGGAATGAAACTGTCTTAATTTCTCAGCACAAACACAAACAGAAACTGCAATGCAGTTTCTGTATTATATGTACTGCTTAATTTCGGACCAAAACTATAATATGCAATGCACTGATTACCATTTCTTTTTCTCTTTTTTTCTTCTTCTTTAAACAGGTTAATATGTGGAAGGGTGGCTAGAATATATCAGACCACAAGCACAAGAGTTCTTAGAAACTAAAAAATACCAAAACTTGTGAAGCAAAAAGAAGGGCCCCCTACACCTGCACAGGTTGATTTGTCCCCAAATGAAGAACTCACTCTAAATTGGATTCTGCAAAATCCATATCAGTTTCCATTTGAGGATGACACAGAATGTGCTCAACAAAATTCATCTTCGTAAGAATTGTGTCTACTCAACCATTCATTACAATTTGAAATCATTCAAAACCAAAAGCTAATCTCGTATTCATTTGCAGGTTGGATTGCGGCAGGTTCGTCATGTTCTACATGGATAAAATAGCACAAGGACAGCCCATTCCAAAAAGTGTGGACAAGAAATTCATGAATGAATATCGAGCACAATATGTCACAAAACTCCTACACCACAAACACTGTGTAATTAATCGTCTCTAGTGATTTGCCTTTCGTTAACTCAAGACAATATGTATCTTAATTCTTGTGGATGTTTGTAAATATTTCTAGTTATGGTATATGAGAACATACTTGCAAAAATTATTTTGAAATTTGAATTATCGAACAAGAAACTGCACTGCAGTTTCTGGTCTCGAACAAGAAACTGCGCTGCAGTTTGGTCAAAATCTGCACTGCTGCTCAAAAGGTAAAGGCATAATCACAGTACTAAAACTAATATCAAAACACACTTTAAGTAGGTCAGCAGTTGAACATTCCAATATACTTGCAAAAATTATCTGAATGAATTATGAACAAGAACTGCGCTGCAGTTTTGGTCTCGAACAAGAAACTGCGCTGCAGTTTCTGGTCTCGAACAAGAAACTGCGCTGCAGTTTCTGGTCAAATCTGCACTGCTGCTCAAAAGATAAAGGCATAATCAAAGTACTAAAACTAATATCAAACACATTTAACTCCATGAGCAGTTATAACATTCCCATAGACTAGCAAAAAGTATTCTGAAATTGAATTATGGGACAAGTTCTGTTCAAAATCTGCAACAAATAAACAGAAACTGCAGTGCAGTTTCTGCAACAAAATCTGCTCAAATCTGAAAACAAGCATTCAATGGCAGTCAAAAACGAATATCCACTTAGAAGCTGTGTAGCCAATTAAAAGCAACTAAAACTGCAATGCAGGTTTTGCAAAAAGTGCAATGCAGAAACTGACTATACATTCACTAAACCATATCTAACGTAAGCAATCGTCAACTGAGAAGGAATGTTTATATCACAGCCTTGCAAGTCTTCCTATTATGCCCAGTAACACTACACCGACTGCATTTCAATGGCCTTTTAAATTCACCAAAAGCTTTTATCCTCTTTGTTGGTGGTCTTCCGGCTGGCCTCTTTGTAATTGGCGGAAGCACAACTCCAGCTGCAAAACTGTTGCTGCCCAAGCCTTTCCCAATATCTGGAATAGGAAAAATAGGACTCTCATAGGCTTTTCGAAAGAAGTCAGTCCTATAGTAACACTCCACGTAATCATAAATTGAATCTTTCTTTGCTAGAATTGCAGCTACCGCATGCGTGCAAGGAAAACTGTCAATTTGCCAAAGACGGCAAGAACAAGTCCTTTGCTCAAGATCAACCATCACAGAATAATCAGCAAATACTTCAAAAACAGTGAAACTAGAACGACAAACTACCCAAGTCCTACCGGCCTCCGCATTTTCCCACAGTCTAGTTTCCATCTCCGGACACAAAATTGTTGTCCACTTCTCCGCTTCAATTAGTCGTTGAGAATTCAATACCATCAATTTCTGTCGAATCCCTTCTATCAAAGGTAGCACCGGCAAATCTCGAAACACACCAACCCAATTATTAAATGACTCCGCTAAACTATTTGCCATCTCCCCATACCGCATTCCTTTGAAATATGCGTTCGCATAGTGATCTCTAGACAAATCAGATATAAATGTCTTCACTTTCGAACTCCCAACAATCACCAACTCCTCCATTGCTACCGTAAACTCTTCCTCTGTAACAGCATATGCGCACCTACTAAATAAATTGATAACACGGTCTTGGAGCGATTTCCCATAACCTGACTTCGGGTACTTCGATATCAAATTCTGTTTGAGGTGATAGTAACAGTAAGAATGAGGCCATCCAGGAAACACAAACCCCATTGCATTTAACAAACCTTGATTGCGATCCGAGAAAAAGGTCACCACTCTCCCCATCGGTAGCAAAATAGAAGCCAAATGTTGAAGAAACCAAGTCCAATTCTCCTCCGTCTCAGAATCAACAACTCCAAAAGCTAGAGGATAAAACCCTGAAAAACAAAACCAAAAGCACAAGTATAAGCAAAAAAGGGAAATTGCAGTGCAGTTTTTGAAAACAAATCTGCTCAAATTTGAAAGGAAACCAAAAGGCAAATCCATGATTCAAGTACTAAAACTAAGTTTAAAACACATTTAAGTTCATGAGCAGTTGCAACATTCCCACAGACATACAAAAATTATTAAGAAAATCGAATTATGAAACAAGAAACTGCAATGCAGTTTCTGCTAAAAAATTGCAACAAATGGAAACTGCAATGCAGTTTCTGTTAAAAAATTGCAACAAATGGAATCTGCAATACATTACAGTAACCATACCTTGATTTCCATTCTTTCCGGAAGCACAGAGAAGCTGCCCCTTGTACTTGCTCTTCAAAAACGTAGCATCAACGAACAACAAGGGTATGCAATATTGAAATCCAGCAATGCAACCGCCAAACGACACAAAAAACCGTCTAAAGCGATTAATTCCAGCTTCACATTCAAGAGTGCAGAGAGAACCAGGGTTAGTTTCCTTTACGGCGTCCGCATACCACACTAACTCGTTGAAGGACTTCGACTCATCACCGTGAACGTTCAATTTAGCTAACTCTTTGCCAAACCATGCATGGTAGTATGAAATGTCTATACCATAATAATCTTTGAACTCGTGTATAATCTCAACTGGCTTCAGCTCTGGTTTTACACGAATTCTGTCCACAATGAGGGAGGACACCACACGAGACTTCATCATCTTACTCTTTGATTCCCGTATCCGACCCACACATGTATGCACATTATTTAATGTCCGAATTACAAAACAGCCAGTAGCTTCACAACGAGAAGCATAAACACGCCAGCTACAACCCTCCAATTTCTTATTCGAACAAATAGCAACCACCCGCTTCTTGTCATTGCCGGCATATAAAAAATTAAATCCTACTTCAAGAGCGTACTTGCACAATTTCAAACGGAACTCCTCTGCACCACCGTCAAACTTCTGCCCTACATGATGTATGTATGTCTCCCACTCATTCGACAACAAAGGCTTAGCACTTGCTCTCTTCGACCTGCCCAAAAATTCATTTCTGTCTTCGACAGTACTAGAACACGACGACTCGCCCTTTTCACATGCAATCAACTCCTTATTTACACAAAAATCACCACTATATTCACTGCTTCCGCATAAATCCTTCACTAAAATATCAACACTCTTCTCATTTGATACAAACAAAAATGTCCTCATCATGTCCAAATCGTTATCCGTTTCTAGAAAACAACTCGGATAACTGGGCAGCGAATACCGTAACGTAAAACAACCCAACTGCAAACCCTTAAACCTTAGACACAAAGTCTTCAAAATATCAACCATGGATGACTCTGATGAAACTGAAAACATCATGGTTTCCGACTTATATGTGCACTTGGCAATGACACACACCTCCATTAGCCTTGAAAATGCAAACAAAACAACAAACAAAAACAGAAAACAATTTAAATCAGTAAATAATGTACATGAACAGTTGTAAAATTCCAATAGACTTCCAAATATTAGTCTGAAATCGAATTATGAAACAAGAAACTGCAATGCAGTTTCTACCAAAACTACAACAAACAGATGTAGTTTATGACAGAAAATCAAAACAATTCGAATAGAAACCAAAAGGAAACCACGATAAAAGTACTAAAACTAAATTCCATAAACATACAAGTCGATATAAACGAAAACAGGTTCTAAAGTACTCATACCTCAAAACTTAGGACTGCCAAAAATCTCCACAACCAAACAGCAGCTTAAAATCAAAATCTGATCACGAAACGAAGAATATAGGGTTTAGCATTGAACGCCACAAGATCGCGCCGCAAAATCGAGCCACAAAACTGAGCTCGAAATACCCGAACTAAGGAGAACAGAAATCACCCAAAACTGACAGTCATTCAGCATGCAAATCGAACGAAAACGTAGCAGAAAAAAGAAGACAGAAAAACGAAGAAAATAAAAGCAAAACCTACCAGAAAATTGAGCTCCAATGGCAGAACCCAGCTCTGAAACGAAGAAGAAAACGAACGAAAACGAACGAAGAAGAAACTCGCGCGTCGTTTAAACGTTCAGAGGCAAAAGCGTCATTTAATTTGTAGGTTTACAGATGGGCCAGGCTTTTTAAGAGAAAAGGGTAGAATTGTCTTTTTATTTGTTATTTTTAAGCTGGCCCAACGAATCTGGGCCAGCCTTTGGCCTAATCTAAAATAGCTATTTTTTTTTTAAGTATTAAAACCCAAACTAAAATACCTAATATCTCACTTACTAATTAGTAAACTTAATAATGTCTAATACCTAATTTTCCTTAAAGAATATGCTTGACTTGAGCATGCCTTTAGCCATTACTAAAGTACAACCCTTCTGAGAATGGAAAATTTGCCAAATCTACCCATTCAATGATTTTTATGCTTGAAAGGTCTCCCGGAAAATTTGCCAAATCTTCCCATTCAACCCAAGCCCAATGCATATAACTCACCACTATTCTAGGGTTTTGTTAACAAGCCCATTGTCTGCTTGATATAATTTGCACCCCTTCCCTCATTCT